CTACCCTTGCCACACACCAGCTCCCTCCCACCCAGAAGTCTCTCGTGCCACACAAACATTCACACACACACACCATTTAAACACAGAAGCTCAATCGTTTTACATCCATTGTGTTTCCCTAGAATGTTTGATGTCAGAATTAGATCAATTAGCATTGAAACATTGAAAAAGCCCCTCAAAACCAAGAACTGCTATTCAGCCTATCGATTAAAAATAAAATTTCACCACTGCAATAAGGTTACTCTCCTCATGTTTCTGCCCTTGTTACCCTGATCCTTACACTCTTGCGTAATAAAAGAAATTTTAGAACTGAGAAGAGAGGTGTCTGATGCCTACAGTGGTGTGTTGGTAGATATTCAACAACCAGCTCAAAGTGAGGAGGGAAAAAACTGCGATTTGTAGCATTTGCTGATTTCCATGATGTAAATACCTCCATCACGGCCAATTTCAAGTTAGCACTGTGAGGTTGCTGAAGGGCAGAGACGGGACTATCTACACACAACTGGCTCTTGGAAGCTGGTTCTACCACTGGATGCCTGAGATTTAAAAATGCTCTCAGCACCTTTGACATCGGACAGCAGTTCTAGAGGTAAATCGTAGTTTGTTCTCAGCCAGTCTGTTTCTAGAACGGTTTTCAGGCATTCCTGCCAATGTTCTGGGCTAAATATGCCCTTATAGGATCATAGGTAGAGAGGCCAATACTAGTCACCGTGCTCAGTCAACGCATAACGTAACCCACATAAATGCTGGCCACTATGTAACCCAGTCCCAACATAAAGAGACATTCAAAAAAAATCACAAAGATGATTCCAGAAGCTTTGAAAGACAATGTCAGTCTTGGGATTTTCTTATAAAATTTTATGCAGGTGCTTCCCCCAGCAATCTTCTCAATCAGCCCTCCTTAGACACCTCATTCTGTCCCCAAAGTTTTACAGTTATGTTAAAGATTGACAATGCGCACACAGCCTTTCTCTCTCCCACATTCTCCCTCTCCCCATTTCCCCCCTCAAACATCTGCACATGTGCACGTGCACACACACACCCACAGATTCTACTTACCCTACTGCTCTCCCCATTCAATCTATACCACCTTTGCTTGTATACCACACTCATTCTGCATGACTGCCCCCCACAGGCACAGCACCCTGGGAGCGTAGGCCTTCTCCCAATCTGACTGCTTTCCTCCAATTCTAGTGAATGATATTCTTGATTCCATTACAGCAACACAAAGGTATTTGTCAAGGTGACTTCTGCAGCATCACAGTAATAATCATAGGAACACTTACCTAGTTCCCATGCTGTACCAGCAACTAAGCTGAGCACTTGACACCCAGACACTCATTTAAGTTGTGGAGCCAGGAGTCCAACCAGGCAGGATGGCACAAGAACCCTGTTGTTCCTAACCATCATACTCTGCCAATTCTTAGGCCCATCTGGAGAAAAGCCACCACGGGATCTTAGCCAAGTCAAACTTTCTGTGCCTCAGTCTCCTCATCTGTAAAATGGGGCTGATAATGGTACCAACCTCACAAGGTTTGGAGGAGAATTAAATGAGTTAACATATGTAAAGTCTTAGAACAATACTTGGCACATAATAAGTTCTATTCTCTTAGCTAAGTGTCAGCTGGTCAGTGTTAACCAGTTCTAATGGGCTCCTCACAGCCTACAGAATCCCATGACCTTTTTCATAGTGTTCTCTGCCAGACTCCCAGGGGTTGGCAAATTTTTTCTGTAAAGGATCAGATAGTAAACATTTTAGGCTTTGCAGACCGCAGTCTTTGTCACATCGTCTTCTTAGTCATCATCTTCTTTTTAAGTCTTTAAAAATGTAAAAATCGTTCTTAGCTTGTGGGGTAAAACAGGCTACATGCATAGTTGGCTGGCCCCGTGCTAGACCAAGAGAGAGAGCCCGTTTTAAATACCACATTTTTTAGGTAACCAAATACGTGAACTCTGAAAGAGACACACGTGTATCAACCACACATTCCCTCAGCAAAAGTTGACTTATCGCTCTTTATGTGCCAGGTGCCATTCTGAATGCTGAAGCTACAAAGATGGAGAAGTGCGTGCTTCACTCTTGGGATGTTCATAGCCCAGTGGCAAGACAGTCACAGCACAGTGCATGGTGAATTGACAAAGGAGGAAGAGATCTGCTCTGGTTAGGTGCCTGATGAGGAGAGGAAAGGGTCCAAAGAGAAGACGCTTGAATTACACTTTGAAAGATGCGAGGAATTCACTCGGCAGACAAAGGCATAAGAGAGCAAGGAGGTATTCAGCAAGCTGTGGTTACTGGGATCAGAAGAGGCCCCCGAGGTCAGTGAGAGCCACATCAGGGAGGGAGGCCCCAGCATGCCTGCTAAAGCACCGGGACTTTATCCTGTAGGCCTCTAGTTTCCAAACTTTTTAACGCAGAAATTTGTCCTCAGGCAAAATCTTCATCTAGAGCCCTGTGTGTAACCGATCTGGTGGAAGCTGGGTGGCAAATCCACAGCACGCCCTCCTGCCGGCCTCCTTTGCCATAGGCCGGTCGGGGCGACCTCTGATCCTCCTGGCAGCATAGTTGGAAATCCACAGCTCCTGGCAACAGGCAGCAAACTCAGGGGCCAGGGAAATCCTGCTGCAGTGGCTCCACTTAAACAAATTCTTCTGAAGTCAATAAAATTCCATCTATCTATTTTTATCTTGAACAGACATCCTGTTCCCCCAGCGCCTCTGCCTTTGCTGGCTGCAGACTTGCCCCATGCAATTTAACACTTAATTACATACTGTCTTATGTCCTTATCTAATTGTTTCTTGAGCTGCCTTTCTCCCCATGTAGATGATGTGGCCTGATGGCAGGAAGCACCTCTGGCTTCTCTTGTACCCGCCTCAAGGAGCAGTATGGAGAAAGGAGCAAGGAGGTGCTACTGAAGAGAAGATGTCTTCCAACCCAAAGATTCTAAGACTCCCCATAGAGGAAAGTATTTTCAAACAGAATAAGTTCAGTAACATGACGACAAAACATCTCCCAAGGCAAGCATTAAGTTAGTGCACGTGGAGCATGTAGTGGGGAGTTGCTTGTGTGTTTCAGGACTGAGAGTTGAGTTGATCAGATTGCTCAGTTCACAAAACATTATTGCTTTGTGTCCACACACAAACCCTCTTCCCTCACTCTTTCCCAGTCCAATTTCCCTCCTTGCAATAGACAATCATTTTATTGTGTTTATATGTATGTATTCTCTGACTATTGTCTTGTGTGCATATATTTGAATATATAGAAATAGTATGCTGTCATATTTTAGATATCATCCTAGCTCTTCCTTTTTTCACCCAGCATGATGTTTTTAAGACCTATCCATATTGCCAACATGCATCTAGTCCATTTCTCCTAAACGCTACATACTATTCCATAATCTGTAGCCATTATATTTTACATATCCAGCCCCCTAAGGATGGCCAACTAGAATGTTTCCAACTCCCCACTCCCACAAACAGGGCTGCAGTGAACATCCTCATACAAGTTCCTTACAAATCTACCTGGAGGGGCCAGCCCCGTGGCCGAGCAGTTAAGTTCGTGTTCTCCACTTTGACAGCCTAGATTTCGCTGGTTGGGATCCTGGGCGAGCACATGGCACCACTCATCAGGCCATATTGAGGCAGCGTCCTGCATGCCACAACTAGAAGGACCCACAACTGAAAAAATATACAACTATGTACTGGAGGAATTTGGGGAGGAAAAAAAGCAGAAAAAAAAAAAGTAAGATTGGCAACAGTTGTTAGCTCAGGTGCCAATCTTTAAAAAAAAAAAAAATCTACCTGGAAAATTCCAGGCCCATATGCCCAGGAGCCGGAAAGCTGAGTCCCGTGGTGTGAGTGTAAGTACTGCCAGGGCGCTCTCAAGAGAAGCTGCGCAAGTCCCCTCTCCCACCAGCCATGCTGAGGGTTTCTCAGGCTAACATCCCCAACAACACTGAGCAACACTCACTGTTACAATTGAAATATGTCCCCAAAAAAGATATGTTGAAGTCCCAACCCCCAATAGCTCAGAATGTGACGGTAATTGGAAATAGAATCTTTGCAGGTAAGGTCATTAGGGTGGGCCCTAATCTAATATGACTGGTGTCCTTATAAAAAGGGGAAATTTGGACCCAGAGACAGACATACCCAGAGGAAAGACAATGTAAAGAGAAAGACACAGGGAGAACGCCATGTGAAGGTGAAGGCAGAGATTGAAATGATGCATCTATAAACCAAGTAATGCCAAAGATTGCCAGCAAACCACCAGAAGCAAGGAGAGAGGATGGGACAGATTTTCCCTCACAGCCCTCAAAAGGAACCAATCCTGCCCAAACCTTGATTTTGAACTTCTAGCTTCCGGAACCATGAGACAATAAATTTCTGTTATTTATCCCACCTAGGTTTTAGTACCTTGCTACAGCAGCCCCAGGACACTATACACAGCTTTCCAAGTTCTGCCAGTCTGATGGGTATCACGTAATATCTTGTTAATTTTATTTCTCTAATCGCTAATGAGTTTGAACATCTTCTTCAAATGCATTTTGGTCATATGAGTCTCCTTGTGAACTGCCCATTTCTATCCTTTTGCCCACTTTTTCATAGAGGGTCCTGTCTTTTTCTTGTTGAGTTCCAACAGCTCCTTTTAGTCCCTTACAGTTTGATGCTTTACAAACATCCTCTCTCAAACTATCATCTGTCTGTTAACTTTATCAATTCCTTATTGGGCAGAATTACTTAATTTCTGTTGAATCAAATTCATCCATTTTTTTAATTATGATTTGTGTAATTGAGATTTTGCTTAAGAAATCCTTCCCCACTCCTATGTTACAAAGAAATTCTCCTGCATAATGTTCCACAAACTCTACTGTTTTACCTTTAACATGTAGAGCCCATATCTGTATATGATGTGAGCTAGGGAGCTCCTTAAAAAAACATTGTATAACAAAACTCTCCAAAATGTAGTGGCTTAAAACATACAACAAACATTTATTTTGCTCACATACCTGCATTGTAGGTAGGGATGAACAAGGATGGTTCATCTTTGTGCCACACAGCGCCAGCTGAGATGGCTTGACTGGGGCTGAAGGATGCGCTTTCAAGATGGCTCACTTATGGCTGGCAGGTTCCTGCTGGCTGGCAGCTGGGAGTTTGGCTAAGGCTGAGGGCTGGCGGCCACAGTTCCTTTCCACTTGCACCTCACTCATCACAGGCTGTTTGGGCCTCCTCCCGTTATGATGGCTGAGTTCCAAGGCAAAAACAAAAGGCAAAGTCTGTACCACTTCATACACCCAAGCTTCAGAATTCACTTAGCGTTACTTCGATTGTAGTCAAAACCTGCCCAGAATCAAGGGGAGGGAACATATGCCCCACCTCTCAGTAGGAAAACAGTCAAAGTCACATTGTAGAAAGCCCTTGGGGGGAAAAGAGAGAATGCCGCAATCATCTTTGGGAATAGAATCTGCCACAGGATCCAATCTTAAGTAGGTCATCTTTATCACTTCTTAAATTCCTTTATACACATGGTCTGCAGCTGAGCGCTCTGCTCTGTTACACTGCTCTGTTGTCTGTTTTTTGCCACAACAAGACTGGTATCGTGTCTATATCTGATAGGGTGAATTCTCTCTCCTCATTCTCCTTTTTCAAACTTGTGAGTTCTTCGTGAACCTTTATTTTTCCCATACAACTCTCCAAACACATCTATCAAACTCCAACAAGTAGTCCTACTAGAATTTTGTTGGGATTGCCTTGACTATATAAGTTAATTTGAGAAAATAAACGTAATTTTATATTGTCATCTCACTCAAATACATAGAAATTACTCTAACCATTTATTCAGGGCTTACTTTTAAAGGCTTTAAGAATTTTAATATTTCTCCCGTAGAGGTCTTGTCTATTTTTTTGTTAATCTCTAAATAGTTCATAGTTTTGGTTGATGCCATGAATATTATTCTTTTTAAATATATTTTCTAATCTGTTTTTGCTGGTCTGGAGAAATTCTATTGCTATTCCTGAACTGATCTTGAATCTGGCCAGCTTGCTTACTTCTCATAGTTAGTTGAATCTGTTGCTTTTGCTGTGTAGATGATCACATTCTCTGCAAACAGTGACGGTTTCATTCCTTCCCACTAATTCACACCTCTTATTTCTTTTTCTTTGTTTATAGTGTTGGCTAGGAAACCCAGTGTTGTGCTAACACTAGTGAGTGATCATGGCGATGCTTGTCTTGTTCCTGATCTTAAAGGGAATGCATTTTTCTCCATTAAGTATAATTTGTGCTTTAAGTTTTTCATTACAAATAGGTATTGAGCTTTCTTAATCTACTGAGATAAATATGTGATTTTTTTTTCTCCTTTAGTCTCTTAATGTGGTGACTATATTACTATGTTGTCATCCTTTGATTCCTGAATGAACCTCCCAAATGACAATACATTAATTTTTTTAACTATTAACATTTAACAAGCTACTACAATATTTTATTTAGGACTTTTATATCTGTGATCATAAGCCAAAGAGATTAGTAATTTTCTTTTCTTGTATTGTCCTTATCAAACGTTGGATAAAGATTATCTTCAACTTAAAAATGATGGAGACAGATTTTAGTGTTTTTCTATTTTGAGATTGCTAGAATTGAACTGTAAAACTGTAAGGGCAAGGTACCTTTTCGGAGAGGAGCTCTTTGATTACTCTTTTAATTTTTAGTGCTTATTTCTTTATTCAAATTTTCTATTCTTTTACCAATATAGGCATTTAATCATGTTCTCCAGATGTTTTCATTTCATACAGGGTTTCCAAATTTAGTAGGATAAAGTTATTCATAACTTAGTTCTCTTATCATTTTTGTATCTCTGTATCTATAGCTTTTTCTGTTGAAAAGATCTGTATTTTCCTTATTAAATCTTTTTCCCTGATTAGTCTGTGTTAATTTATATCTTTATTAATTATTAAATAGTAATAGGGTGGTTTCTGCTGTTTATATTTCCAAAATGAAAAAGAAGCTTTTAGTTATCAGTCTTCTCTGTTGTTTTTATTTGTTTGTATGCTCTCCATTGATTCCTGCCCTCATATTTCTTATTTCTTTCCTTTTTGTTTATTTTGATTTGTTCTGTTGCTCTTTTGCAACTTCTTGTGTTGAATTCTTAACTCATTCAATGTTAATCATCTTTGTTTCCTGAAAAACAGATTTAAAGCAAGATTCTCCTCTGACAACTGTTTTAGCTATGCCCCCACTTAACTGGATACAGAGTATTCTTATTTTTTTTCAGTATTATTTTTATTTTTACTAATTTTTCTCATGATTATTAGAAATTTAACAAGTAAATCTCCCTTTTAATCCAAGAGTTTCTTAGTAATATTATTTAGTTTTCAGACATTTGGAATTTTTCTTGGTAACTTTATTTTAACTTTTGGTTTTATAGCATTATGATCAGACAATATAATCTAGATAATTATCATTCCTTGGAATTTATTGAGGCTTCCTTTGCAGCCTAGTATATGATCAGTTTTTACAAGAGTTTCTCGTGTGTCCAAAAAGAGTTGCATTTTCTATTGCTGGGTGTAGAGTTCTACACAATTGTAATAGCTCAAGCTTTTCTTTGTATTAGTCAAATGATCTATTTCTCTGCTTACTTTTGTTTCATTTGAGCTATCAGTTTTCTAACACTGATGTGTAATAATAACTATAATTGTTGCTTTATGAATTTCTCAAAAACAAATGCCCTTTGTAGATGAACAACAGAGGGAGTAGAGGACAGTTTGCCAGATCCCCTAATGCCACGTAAGGATTCCATGCTAGGAAGTAAAGGAAAATACAAGGCCTGTATTCCATCTTGGTTTGAGCTTCAATGGTGATAATATAGGTCTTGGCTACTTCATCTGCCAAAGGGGAACTCATAAATATAACTACATGAAGCTGGGGCTAACCTTGATGTGCCCTTCATGAGCTTCTGCCTCCAAGATCTGGATCTAAATCAGGGATCGGCACAAGCCCCCATCCCTGCACTCATGGCAGACATCACCAATCAACCACTCTCCAGCTAGCCTTCCAACAGTCAGAATGAGATTTTTGGCAAGCCTGGTGTCAATGGCAAATAAATACCACACAGACTTTTGAGACTTAAGCCATCTCTGAAAAACTGAAGACTATCCCTGACCCTCAGGTGGCAAAGTCAACCCAATGGTTCAACACTGCTTCCTGATTTGCTCCTAAGCTTCTGACACATGGGTCATTCCACCCTCAAACTCCTCCAAGTCACGTGAAAACACCTAATGCATGAGTAAGGTGTCCTCCTGTTTGTAAGAATTCCTGTTCTCCTCTGATGGTACAGTCTGAATGAGGCACAGTTTCCTGAGCAAGCAGGATGAGTGTCAGTGCCCACTCCTTAATCTGGGGTCTTCTACATAACTTGAATGTTGAGAACTTAAATACACCAAGGTGAACTGCAGGCTCTTTTCTCGGACAGAACTAAGCTTTTGGGTTAAACCAGTGTACCAGTCAGGGTTGTTGGTCACAAACAGCAGAAATGACTCTGGTTGAACAGAGCAGAAGTGGACTTGACTGAGAGGATACTGGGCAGCTCACAAACTCTTCAGAATGGCTGGAGAAAGGCTCCGAGAACAGGCAGACACCAAAGAAAGAAGGCCGACGAAGCACAACCCCAGCTCCCTGCAGACAGTTTGGAAAGTTTCCCTCAGTCTGCGTCACTGCTGCATGTGACTTCATCTCTGGCACAGCCCCTGGAAACCCAATGCTGCTGCCACTGCCACTGCTACCACCTCCCCCCCCCCCAAAGCATCCTCCACTATCCCTGTTTCCTAGCCTCACAGTTCAGGAAGGGTCATGTGATTGCTGGAGCATGGGGCAGTCTCCTGCATACTGGACACCAGAGGGGCCCCGGAGGTCAGGTAACCGGCCTTCTAGACTTCACTGCTGAGAGGCCAGCTCCGCTCACACCAAGAATCACATGATGACATATTCTCCAAATGTAGGAAGGGGATTCAGAAACAGTGGAGACCTACAAAGACAAAAAACACTAAGCTGGTTAGGGTGGAGTGCTGCCTTGGCTCCCTGGAGTCCTTTTGAGAGGGTGTGGGTCCCAGAATAATTTGAACTCAATTTAAACCTTATTCTCATCTGAAAGATGGAGGATAATATCACCCAACTAGTGTGGTTGAAATAAGGATCAAATGAAAGGAAATATACAGGGGTGATTTATAAGTTATGAAATGCTACACGGATGTTGGTGACTCCACTCATTCCTTCATTCTTTTGGTGAAGTTCTTCCTAATCTTCATCTGCTGCTGGTCCATTACATAAATCTCACTTTCCCCTTCAGCCTCCCAGCAGACAACCTTACCGCTTACTCCACATAGTTAATAGAATCCACACTAAAGAAACTCTCCCAGCTTCGTACCACCAAATTGACAGACACTCCTGAATCTACTCCATCTTCTCCTCCTTCACCCCTGCTTCCAAGGAGATCTCTCTTCCCCTTATTCAAGGCCAATTCTGCCTTGAGTAACTTGCTCCCATTGCTTTCTGCCTCCCACGGAATCTTACATTATCATTTTACCCCTTCTTCGCCCTTTATCTCTCTACTAGATCCTTCCATCCTGCTCTCTCTCATGTTACCCTCCCTAAAACCCCCAGACCTGCATTCCCCTTTACCTACTACCCACTCTTTCTTCCTTCCATCATGCAAGTTACCTGAACTTAGTGTCTCCTCTTCCATCCCCTGTCCACCCCTCAGCCTGTTCCAGTCTGACTTCCACACTCATGTCTCCACCAAGGCTGACTTTGCCAAGCCTCCAATGACCTCTGAGTTGTTAGGTCCAAGTTGTCCCCCGACGTGACCTCTCAGCAACCTTCAACACAGCAACAAACTGCTTCCTCCTTCTAGAGACAATCTCCTTCCTTAACTTCCAGGACACCATCCTCTCCTGGTTTACCTGCTACCTCCTTGGACGCGCCTTTCAATCACCTTAGCCAGCTCCTGCTCCTCAACACAGCCTTTAAAAAGGGACTCCTACTTCCCCTTCATGCCTCCCACATACATATCATTAACTCCTAAATTCTACCCATTCCACCTCCTAAAACCTTGTCTAATCTGTGCTCTTCTGTATACCCACTTCAGTCCTCTGGACTCTTCTCCATCCAGCAACCAGAGTGAGCTTTTTAAAATATAAAAATGATTGAGTCACTTCTTTGCTCTAAGTTCTTCAATGCCTTAGCATGGACTATCATAGGTTACGTGCCCTGACCCCAGGCTGCCTCTTCATTCTTGCTCACTCCTCTCCCCTAGCTTGCTTGCACCCTAGTGCACAGTGTTGTTCTCTGCTATACCTGCTCCTTGTCACCTTGGGGCCTTCACACATACTGTTCCTCTTCCTGAAATGGGGACCTCACCTGCACTACATCAGTTGTAGGTTGCATGACTCCTGGGACACCATTCACCTCATTGGCCTCACGGATGCATAGAATTAAACTGTCTTAAAGAAGAAGTGGGTTTTTCTAATTATCTAAGAGTCTCATCATATCAGCTAGCATCAGGGCTGTCTGAAACACCCTTTCCCTGTTTGTGTTTTGGATCTCTTAAACATTGCTCGGAGGGAAAAGCCTTCCTTGACCCTCCAAACAAGGTTAGGTCTCCCCGTCAGTCACTATCCTTCCACGTTCCCTTCATGGCACTTACCACAATTATAGTTATACATGTTTGGTAATTATTTATGATGTGTCTGTCTCTCCAATGGACTGTAAGTTTCCAAGGGATAATGACAGTTTCTGAAATGCTCTGTCCTGTATCACCCTGAGTCCATTACGGAGGGCATACTCAACTGAGAAGAAACAAATGGAAAAATGAATGATTAAACCACATGGGCTTCTTTTTGAGCAAAACAGCTTTTATCTGCTGTATGAATATATCTAAGGCCCCCTTCAGCAACTGTCTAAATTTCCACCCTTCTAAGCCATAGGATGGAAGTCCAGGAGGCGGGTTTTCCGGAGCCACATACAAGAAACGAAGTCCCCCAGGACCCTGACACCATGTTGTTCAGTAATCAGAGGAACTGCGACGTCGAACAAGCTGTAGACCATGAAGATTGCCCAAATTCTCCTCCTCAGGCTAGGAATCAGGAATAATTTTCAGCCCAGACTACCTGGACAACAAGGAGCTCACCCACCTCCCCACCCTGAAGACCACCTCTCAAGCCTATACTCGTTGATGGAAAAGAGAGGCCAGGAGCCTGAGCCCATGACCCTTTAGGCCACCACTCAAGCATACCCTCCAGGGGCTACTGATCCACAGGCTATAGGGGCACTTGTCCCATTCTTCTCATCCATCCCCCAGCAAGGAGCACCACTGAGTAAACAATTATCGACTGCCTGCTGTGTGCATACCTTTGTACGAAGCAATACAAACCATAATCTTTGCCCTAAACAAGTATATGCTGTAGCTGGGAAGACAATAGTAACACCCAGGAACGTGTATGAGCGGGAAGGAGCTCTGAGCAGGGATTTGAAAGGTCCCAGCTTCGGCACTGAGCCAGTCTGAAAGGTATGAGAAAAACCATTCCAAGTGAGAGCCGTGCAGAGGCCCCGGCCAGAAATCTGGAGCTCTACTCCCCTCTGCTGTTTCCTTGCAGACTCAGGATCTGCCCCAGCAACTGAAGAGGGAGAAGGAGAGAGGGCAAAAAAAGAGGCAGGGAAGCCCAGCACAGAAGGGCAAAGAAAAAGGAAACAAGTGAGCTATTAATACAGGACATGTCTAATGATAACAGCTAATGTTTGCGTCTTCTTTCACACAGCACTTACACAGGGACTCCCTCACTGGATCTCCCAACAGCCCTGAGAAGTGCATTATCCCAGCTTTACAGATGCGCAGACTGAGGCCCCAAAAGTTTGTGAATTTCCCAGTCTTACGTAGCTGGTTAGTGACAGAACTAGGACCCAAAACCTTGCCCTTCTGACTCCAACATTATGCTCTTCCCCTAAACCACGTGGCCTCCAAAAGCAGCAATTTATAGGACTACAGGACAGATAAAGAGGAAACTGGCTTCCAGTTGTTCATCCCACCTCTGCAAGCTCTCATCTCTCCTGCCACCCTCACCTCCTCCCACCCCACCCACACACACGGGAAACCACGGGACAATGGAAAGCCACCTTATTTGCTTCCTAAAGAACATGCTGTTATTTATTTGCCAAGAACTTCAGCAGGACCTCTGTGCTGCCAAACATGGCATTCCAGGAACCAAAGGGTCAGCACTGGGAGGAGAGGGGGCCTGCACCGTCCTCAGCCTCCATGAAGAACCACCCCTGCAGGCACGGGCCTAGGTGCTCAGGTGGATACAAGCAAGCTCTCAAGGACATATGAGGATGTCGGGGACGTGAGGAATCAATCAAAAGAATAATAACAGCAACAGTGATAGCAGCTAAGACTTTTTGAGTGCTCACCGTCCACTGCCACCATGATAAGAGCTTTCAATGGCTTCATGTTTAATCTTCATGACTACCTAATGGGGTAGGTCCTGGTGTTCATGAGAAACTGAGACTCAGAGGGGTGAATTGTCCTATCCAGGGTTACACATCCAGCAGGGGACAGAACCAGGACTCAAATCAGGTCTGTCTGACTCCAGGGGCCAAACTCTTAACTAGTATATCTACCACTTCTTTGCTACATAAATACCTGAGCGGGGAGATATAAGCCCCATACAACTCATACAATTAATGTCTGCGAACACCTGGAGTAGTGAGAGAAGCTTCAAAGAAGAGAGAGCCCGATGCAGATTTACAAGGGAAGGGCAGACAAGGGGCCTGGGGTCACATACAGGCGAAATGTTGGCAGCAAATGTGGAAACTGGGAGATTGAAGCAGCCTGACTGGTGCCATGGGAATCACTACGATTGATGGCTAGTCCTTCAGACTAACAAATTTAGCACCAGAAACAGAAGGACAGGAGGCAAAGGGGAAGAGAGACCATAGTCACCAGGGTTCGTTTTGTAAGTACATAGTAAGCATAGAAAGAGCATGAGAAGTTTGTCCCAGCATCTGATTGTTCAGTGCTCCGGTATCTGGGATAAAGTTTCCATCCCCAGCGTAGCTTCCTCGGAATATTCCCAGTCACCTCCTCAGAATCAAGTGGGTGTGTGCAGGTGTGTGCTCTGCAAAGGTAGGAACAGCCCTCTCACTGTAAGTAAAGGAAAAAGGATTAGGAAAAAGTCCATCGGTGGCAGAGGCGGACACAGGTGTTTGCGATCAGGAGGGCATCTCCCCATGCACTGGACCCTCTCGGTTGGGAAATGATTCATCCTCCATGGCAGGCAGTTTTCAGTCTTAACAGATTCCAGCCACATCTACACATCACAACTAGCATGGCCAGCTGCCTACAATCTATTCAATTTGCTTACTGGGGACCACTAAACAGAGTCGCCAGGCTCCCGGGGAGCCCAGGGACTTCCCATGGGGCCACGTGGCACTCTGTCTTTCCCCTAGGGGTGGAAATGTCCCCAAAAAACCCTGTCAATGAACACCAGTGTGTTCACAGCCCCAAAAATGCCCACACAGCCTGTGTCCTCCCCAGCAGCGCCCGGCACGGGACTGCAGTCTCCAAATCTTCCTGGGGGCACTGCAACCCCTGAGAACCAATGTTACAAAGAGAAGCTGTCCCCAAAAGTTAAAAATTATTACTGGTCGGGGAAAGGATGTATATTTGGCCAAATTCCACTAAGATTTTGTAGTTTTCATTGTTAAGAAGTCCTGCTTCAGGAGCAAGATTTTAACTGTTTGGTTCTAGACTTTAAAATATATGTGGTGATTTTACCATTTAAACTCTATAAGACGGCAACCACAAAATTAAATTCTGTCTTTCAAAGGGTTTTATGTACTCCTCTAACTAAAAACAGCTTCACAATAAAAAGGTCCAGTTTTACAAGTGGGCCCAACCCAAAATAGTAACTATGGCCTTAATGGCTATTATCCCACTGCTGTATGAAGGATTTAAGGCATATAAATGCCCATTAACACAACTAAGCATAATAATGTGATTTATGAAGTACCCCTTGCTGGGGCCCTTGTAGCACCCTACCATTACACCACCCCAGTTAAAACATCCTGCAGGCTTCATAGACTCGCCCTGAAAGAAACCGCCCTGTAAAAGCACCACCCGCCCCACCAAAAAACCTGACGGAGGGGGTTCGATGGCAAGGTGGTGGCAGCAGAAGGGGTATTCAGATGGAATGAGAGCATTTTAAGGGTCTAATTCCCACGCTCAATGCCCACCAAAGTACACAGGAGTGAATAAAAACCACAAAGCAAAGAAGCATTCCCGGGGAGGGCTGTCCGGCTGTCCATCGCAGGCTTTCCTATTAAGTTTGGCATTTGCTTGTTATACATGAACACGTCTCAGTTCTAAACATGGGCAATCCAAATGACATGTTCTACTGAAAAGCGGGAGGAGCCCTTCTGTTCCAGAGACCTATCTGGGGTATGGAATTTGGAAACCTCTCCCCTTTGGCCCACTTCA